TATCCGCATTCGTGCGCGCGCAATCTTGTCTAACGTGTGGTTTCTGTCCTCACTCCTCATCGTCAGGTTGCCACACAAGCTGGCGAGAGCATCAACCCGGGCAAATACACGATCTTCGTCGCCGGCTTACATTGTCAAAACGAAACAGCTTCGCAAGCACGAGATTCAGAAGCTCTCGGCCTCTCCGGCGCCCTCGCAAGTGAGAGGGTCCTTCGCAAAAGTCGAAATACGCACAAGAAACACTCGACGGCGCTGACCGGTGACGGGTCATGCGCGGCAGTGGCGCCCTGCCGGCGGCTGGTGGCAGGGGCGACCGGTTCGTGCAACGACGGTGTAGTGACGGGATGCGCGCCAGATGCGATTTCGTGTGGGTGACGACTGGACGTCGTAGTCTGTTCCACAGGCTTTGCGTCTGCGTGGGAAGCGCTGCTTGCGATGACTCAGCTTCACTAGCTTATGCCGGCTGATTGTTACCAGCATGTGTAAGTTATTGATTTTAATGCATCGCGGCGATTACACCGAGATGCAAGCCGGGCTGCCAACGCTGCAACTCGCTACGGAAATTTACTTAAGATCGTTATGTCCATGACAGAGAGGAAGGAGAGATGGAGAAGGCCAACAGCACCATTTTGTAATTGCAGGTCCTTTCGAGTGGAAAGATTCCTGCGTTTGCGATTCGGTATGTTGCTTTCAAACTGTGATTGCTCTAGCGAAGTTTAAAAGAATCAGCGATGATAGAAGTCGGTTCAGTCGTGGAAACACATGCGCGTGCAAATACCCATTTGTAGACAGATCTGACAAGCTGGTGCATCTGCCGAGAGAAAAGATTAAGAAATTGTTTTAAATATTCAGACCTGCACATGTTATTTAGATTGTTGTTGATAGGGTGGAGATTACTACACAGATGGTCTATGTGGATCTCCTATGTGTTTTGAAAGTTCTTGCTGGCAACAATTGTTAAAATGTGAGCCAAATCCTTATGTGGGTACTGTTTACAAGAGTAGCAAATGTTATGTGTCTCGCTCTCGATTATTGTTTTTTCTGTGCAATTTACTGTGTAAAATAGCAGGCTGTACGGTAGATATAGTAAGGCGGTTGTTATGCTCAGTAGCCAGTAACTTCACATTATAACAGGTAGTTACTAATTAAATCAAAGCAAGTGTCTGTTTGATGGCCCATACTAAAAGTATTACTGGAAAATGAGGCGATTTGATTGGTGGAGTCGAGAGTAAGTGGAATAGAACGTTTAACTGTATGCACTCGTAAAAGGCGTTTGTGGTTATTTTTTCTCACATTCGTCGCCCCGCGTTTTCGTTGCAGAGGAACGGTATTTCTATGCCCGGTGATTTTGATTGTGTAATTCGGCAACACAGAATGTGGTTTTGTATAAGAAATTCAGCATACGGGAATAATATTTTGATTAATGGCCCCTAAAATTCGGGGGGCGATAACCAGTTGATCATGTAACCTTCTACTTATTGTACTATTTGCTATGTCTTCCTTCCATATTTTTATGTTTCCTCTCTCTCTCGCAGCTCTCCCTCTCTGTCTCTCTCCTCTATTTCTCTCTCTCTTGTTCTTCTTCCTTATCTTCTCTCTCGTCTTCCTCCTTCCTCTCTCGTCTTGCTCTCTTCTCTTTCTCTCTCTCTCTCCTCAGGCACCACACCACTCTTCTCGCCAATCGTCACTCTCTTTCTCTCTTTTTCTCTCTCACTCTCTTTCCTTCTCTCTTGTCCTCTCCTTCCTCGCCGCTTCCTCTTTTTCAACTATGTGATGTCTTTCACTTATTCTCACTGTTTCTTATCCCTCTATTTCCTTCCCGCATTTCTATTGGGCTGTAAATGTCCGAATAGTATGGGGGCTGGCTTTTTTTGGTGTGTGTGGAGACACA